ATCTAGATAGACATACAGAGATAATAATATGCACAAAAAACAAGACAGAGCAAAACAAAGCAACAAAACAACAACAACAACAATAACAAAACTAATGACAAAAGATATGAAAAGCCTGTAAGTAGTTCAAGATCTATTTGTTGACCTTTAGAAGTGTTTTCCGTTAAATTCTGATGAGGTGCCATGCCCTGGCCCCAAAGTCTATTTTTGGTGTTCCAAAGTCTATTTTTGTTGCTCTGTTCTCCTTGCTGTTCTGTTGCACGCCCTTAGTGCTTTGCCTCGGTGTGGTGGGGTCAGGTTGATTGCAATGCCCACACTGTGTCTCCAGGGTTGTCCCCTGTAGGGCTATGGGTCATCCCCTGTAGGGATGTCGTGTCTCATAGTGGGGCAGGCCATATGGTCCTCTCTGTGCATTGGCTGCTCTGAGTGGGGATATTGTCCTCAAGGCTTGGTGGGTCAGGATGTGCTTCACTCTCTCTTCCTCCCCCTTCATTTGCTCCTGTGTGCTCTGATCAGACATGGCCCTCTCCCTGAGCTTAGCTTCAATGCTGTCCTCTGAAGAAAATTCTTCTAGGGGGAGAGGGACTATCTACATTATTGGGATTGAGGCCAGTCTCTCAGACCTCTCTACTGGTTCCCTAATTCATGGTGGTATGTTGCACTCACATCCTGAAGCACTGGGTTGAAGTCTGGTCCCTCTTTCCCTGTGGAGATATAACCCACCCTTGGGTGGATTAGTGCCCTGTTCCCCCGCTACCCATGTCTTCCCCCACCCTCATTTTTATGTGTCCCTGAATTTGGTATGTATCCCTGGATTTGGTCTGCCCCCTGCCATACTACCTGGACCTCACGCCAGAAATGTTTGTATACAGTAGCTTTTTCCCTATGTCCCTTTTGCATTTTTGCATTCAGCAGACTTGTTGTACTTGTCCTTTTGTGCTTGACTTTCTTCACTTAGCATAATTTCCTCCAGCTCTTCCTATGCGGCGATGTGCTTCATGCATTCATCACTGCTTTTTAGGGATGTGTAGTACTCCATTGTATGTATGTACCACGGTTTGTTTGTTTGCTGTACTACAGTTTTTTAATCCATTCATCTGTTGATGGAAATTTGGGTTGTTTCCAACTCCTTGCAACTGTGAACTGTGCCACGATGAACATTGGAGCACAGATGTCTGGCTGTGGTTTGTTTCTTGCCTCTTCTGGGTATATGCCCAGTAAGGGGATTTCTGGGTCATATGGTAGCTCAATTTCCATCTGTTTTATATATCACCAAATTGATTTCCATTGTGGCTGTACATACGTACAGGTCCACCAGCAGTGGATGAGAGTTCCTATCTGACCACAACCCCTCCAACACTTGTTGTTTTCTGATTTTTTAAATTGGGGAGACATTATATTTTTTGATAGCCAGGCACCATCAGCTTTCTTCACCACATTTGCTTATGCACCCGCTTTGTCTTCAGTGATCATGTCGGGAAGGTGAGCATCTAGTCCGGTTAAGATGTACAGTCTCAGAAATCCCGTTAAAATGTACAGTCTCAGAAATCCTGTTAAGATGTACAGTCTCAGAAATCCACAGGGGCAGTGTTTCTCTGTCCTGTAGGTTTGTTATGAGTCAGAATCAACTAAATGGCAACGAATTTGGATTCTACAGAAATAAGGAGTTGTGGTGACATTGTCAGGTAAGCATTCAACAGATAAGGTGAACGGTTCAAGCCCTGAGGTGTTCTACATGAGAAAGATGAGTTTGTTTGTTTCCAGGAAAGATTTTACAAAGCCTAACCACAAGGTCTGGTAGCATAGTAGGTTACTACCGTGTTTCCCCGAAAGTAAGACATCCCAGAAAATAAGACCTACTTACAGTTTTGCCTCTCGCTGAAATATAAGGCACCCCCGAAAATAAGGC